ATTAAAATGATGTCATTACGCAATAAATAGAATAGATTTTCTCTGGGTCTTCTATAAAAATAAATTCTTTACATGTCTTTGAGAAAGCTCTCCCTAGTATTTTTTAGACAGAAGAAATTTCTGATCTTTGATCTTCTTCATGACTTTAATCAATAATAGGGCTAAGTTATACCTATAAATAGAATACATTTTCTTGATATACCGTATTTCATATGGTTTGTAGATAGCTGACGTTTTCAATGTCATCTGTAGACAGGTTTTATGCCTACCTTAGGCTTCAATAGATATAAAATATCGGGTATACATAATCGAACTACATGTATTATATAAAAAAGAATAATCCATAATACAGGAGGTAAGGAATTATAAATTCCTAACCTCCTGTATATAAATATAATCTATTTTGTACAAATATCCATATTTTCCGCAAGAAAGAAATTGAAATTGATTGATTTACATAATTAAATAATCTTATACTTCTATCTAACTATAAAACTGTCCGGCAAATTTATCTCCCTCAAAACTACTAAGCATAAGTACTATTATATATTTTCGTTCAATCCATATTATACTACTTTGTTTCAGTTCAGAAAAAGTTTCTTTAAAATAATATACTTTTCGACCAGGCCCCGAATGAATAACCCTCCATTGACCAAGTCTCACCAACCCTGGCGAAATGGCAAAAGATCATTTCCATTGTATGGGAAAAACGGTTGGACGTGAACTTCAGACATAGCTAGCTGTTCTTCTGTACCTGTATAGATACGTATGTTTGTGTATGTATTTGTAATGAAATTGTTTGATGTTGACCGCTTTTGGTGGAGCTCTTACACCAATTAAAGCAAATGTGCCTGGCTTGTCTGTCGTATCGTTTTTGTATTTTTGTTTTCCTCTTTGCCAGAGATATCACAATACGGGAACACAAAACTACAACAACAACAGCAGCAGCAACTACACATACAGAGTATTTCTAAAGGCATTTAGACACGCAGATTTCGACGTCACTTGACGTTGGAACGCGTCGTCGTTAATTGCAGTCAAACTGTCGTCAAATGGAGCATAGCTTGGCATTCAATCAAGACGTTAATGCACTCATTTTCCGTCTGTATACGATGTGATGCGATATAAAATAATATAAAAAAGGTGGGCACATTAAAAAATAACTTGACAACCATGTACGAGTACGAGGTACAGGATGTGATGTGAAGATGATGATACAATCGGATAGCTTGTAAACTACATTTAGACAGTTTGGGTGTAGTTGACGATTCGTTTTTGTTTAAGTATTTTTTCCAATGCGTATTATAAATTTATAGGATAATATAACTTTGGGAATATTTTAAATACATAGCAAATTTATTATGTGGTTAGGAATATGATGTATCAATCAATCTGACATATAATGAAACAATCCATATGTGATGAATCAGATTCGTAAATTTGTATATATGAGCTTTACAAAAACCAGAACAGATTCAAAATCAATTTTATGCCATCGTCCACGCAAGCATTTGGAGTTGTTCGTGCAGAAGTTACCATTTTGAAACATTATTTATATAAAATCGCACGAAATTTTATATAAATATGTACCCATTGTCAAACACAATTACGTTGTTTTCAATCAAATCGCGAACAGTAACTATTTGCCTATATTATCGACCTTCCTATGTTACAAGAAACGCACAAAAGCGTAGTAAGCCCATGCCAAGGTGTTTTATTTTACAACCTATAAGGAAAGGACTAAAATTGGAAGAGGTTAAAATTCATAAATTTTTATATATGCATATATCCCTATATTTAATTAAGGCATATTTAATACCCCATCAATTAAGTTTAGTTATGGAAATCCATGCTTCCTGAGAAATCCGTCTTTAAAGTTGACAGAGAATTTAATTTGAAAGATGATTTTGTTGTTGTAATCTAATTTTTCGTCGATATATAATTGGAATTAAAATTGAAAACACGAACTGTGCGGTAAGCAAGACTTTTATCTACATGCAGTTTCCAATATTCCTTACATTATTGTAAGGTAAAAAAATTATTTGGTGTTGCCTTTAGATTTCCTGCGTTTTATTGGTGTGGTACCAGAGATAATGGTCCCATAATCTGCAATAGTATAAATCGTTAGTATAAATATTAAAGTTTGCTTGGGTCAAACTCAACACACGATTTTGGTTTGGTAAACATTAAAACCATTTGAATTTTTTCTGAAATGATGTCAAAATATATACTTCATTAGCCTTGACATATATCGCAAAATTTTCAAAATTTATAAACTTTGCATGTTACATACAAAGGGGGCTACCAGAAGGTATGGACCGATTTACAATTTCTCAAAATTGTAATTCTTTGTGGGGAGTTAACAAAAGGATTAGACCGATAAGCACAATACTCAAACATTATAAAGACACGGTAAGTGTACTGCTGGGAATTTTAAAAAAAATTGCACAAAAAGTCGTTTTCTTAAAAAATCTCGCAAAATAAAACTGTTTCGAGAATATGTCAGATACCCTTGGATCTCAAAAATGGCGTAAAGGAATCCAAATATGTTTGAATTTACACATAAAAAGGGATATAAAACTTAACAAAAATATGGAAGACGAGTCGCACAAAGGTTAAAAAGTCACACAACGGTAACCCTGAGCACTTTTGGGTTGGGCATACTTTGGTTCAAAACGGATGTACATACAATAATGTGCCCTCTTCTTCCGCCTAAGATTGAACGTTTCGTTTGGGGATGATAAAAGTAAAAACGTCCTCTTGATTTAACTTACACCTTCATTAGCCAATTTGTAATATCTTCAGTTAATATTTTGTCTCGGGTTTTTAAACTGTGTTTAGATTTGATTTTCGGACAGTTCACACTGGTTATAAGGACATCAACTGTTATTTCAGTAAGACACAACTTACCTAAAACACACGAAATATAATTTTTATAATTAGTAATGGGTAATAAGAAAAGTAAATTACAATTTACCTTGTAGTATGTCCCATTGACATACTAATCTTAACTACACAAGTCCTGTGTAGGCACACACCACCACTATCAGCTGCAATTTCATGAAGTCCACCTACTATTATGCGTTCAATTGTTTGCAAAACATAAACAAACCAATAATTGTCCTTTTATGATCACTCGCGACCGACGTTTCTACCGATAACATGAATGTTCGTAAAGTTTTCAAACGCACCTTAAAAGAGTTCCACATTTTATTAACCGTCCCGTAATACGTTAATTAATTCGATAATCCGTTTGCATACATTGCCCGAAAAACAAAGAAATGTCGATTTATTTCAAATATTTTCTTCATTAAATTATTCATAATTAATAAAAAAGAAAGAAGAACGAAAGCCACTGCCAATCATCTGACAACCGCCCTTTCACAAAAAATATAAACACACGAAGTACCGTTACAATTGAATTGTCAACTTGTCAGAGATGGCAATCTCACAGACAGGGTTGTACTTCCTCAGCACAAACAACAACGACACACACAAATGTTGCCAGAAACATCAAAACGTCATTGTGAATTCGATTTTTTTTTAATTTATTACAGCAATTATATTTGAAATGTCTGCTGTTATTGAAAATGCTCTTATTATGTTCTGGGGTGCAGCGGCTGCAGCAAAAAAATAATTGCTTTTCGCTGTTATGCTTTTTGTTGTCTGCTCTAATTTCTATTTTTACGATTTGTTGTCTCTACGAAAAAAATGCGTGCCAAAGTATCGAAATATGCAGCATTGTGGTTTACAAATGCAAAACAGGTATTTTTGGGATTTGGGATAAAGAGTTTTTTTTTTTTGGGGTGGGGCTTAATTAGAAAAGAAAATATAGAGATTTTTTATGACAATGTTTCAGGAGAGATATGAATTGAGTCTAAAACAAAGTGTGTCTATATTGCTTTAAATAATCCTATTTAATGTAAATGAGGCTCCAAAGACACCACGCCTGTCCGATTAACACGTAAATTAGCATAACGTATTGAATTGGGTTGTCATCATGTGCAAATTTAAATATATATCAGATTTGATATTCTCCAAAAAAGGTAAAGAGACTGTAAATTTGAAATTTTGAAATTTTATATATCGAGTCATATTCTCCAAAAAAAGGTAACCCTCAAATTTGAAATTTTACAGGAAAATGTTTTTTTTTTAATAAATTCGGATTTAATAAAGATATTATTTCGAAATTTAGAACTATAGTTTTGTTATAATACTAAAATTGTTTTAAATCTATAATTTAAATTAAAAAAACCTAGCTGTAAAATTTAAAATTTGAGGGTTACGTTTTTTTTTTTTGGCGAATATGGCACGATATTTTCATCCAATTTCATGTAAATAGTACCCCAAAGGCTCAACATTTGTCCCTGAAAATTGACATACACTTCCCAATCAAGTGCATAACCGTCGTGTCTAGTTTATGTATATGAATAATTTTTTATATATTAAAATACGATTCTTAGAGACCTATTATATATCCAAAGTGGTGCAGAGTATCGAATATGGCTCCCATCCGACCCAACACCATGATTAGAAATACGTCGGAAATGGAAATATTGTTTTGACGTATTTGAAAATTATTCTTTACCTTTTTTGAATTAACACTCGTATTAAATTATCAAGAAATGTCTCTATAAGGAAGATGAAGGCTTATTTCATTCCTGAACTCAAAGAATTTATCACGAGAAACTATACCTTCTCATCTAAACTTTATATATGCATGTTATTATATTATCTAACTAAATGAAGCATTAAAATAAAAATTAATATTCGATATTTTACATTAGGGTCTCTGAAAATATAAATATTACTTTAACATCGTGTTTTCTAATTATATTTCATAACAAATTAAATTGTTTTAAGAAAATGAGGAAAGTAAATTATTTTTTATATGTACATGGACATTTTTATTTTCATAATAAATATTAATATATTTAAGTTTATAATTTTAATCTTCTAACCACTTAGTAATCTAATAAAACTGATTTTTTTCTGGAATTCTATACCACTTGCAATTGCATAGATTGATTTTCAATCTTAGGGGCATTATCATAACGTACAAATTTATTAATTTGGAATGATTCATCTTCGTGATAGTCAGTGTCGACGACAAAAACATCTACCACTTTCTCAATGGTATATTGTTCTTGTAATAGGGTATTAATAAATATCAATGGTGTTACTTTTACCAAACCCAATTTCGAAGGACATATTGTCAATGGGAATTCACGATATTGCCCCGGATCAATAACACCTATACTAAATTCCGCTGACCCGGTATAAGGGCAATTGTAATCTAATGGTGTTGGCAATTTTACCATTAGATCCATAGGCCTTTCAGCAGTGTTTGTAACACGGCAAGTAAATGTAAAGGGTTCACCAATTTTAACAATATTCATGGCATCAATAACCTCTAGACGTACATCTTTATATTCAAAAGGCTGAAATAACAAAAATGAATTATTGCTATGAAAAAATATATACTGTATTTTTTAAGCATACCAAACGTTGTAGTTGACTGGTTTGCAAACGTCCCTTTTCACCCAAATTCGAACGCCACACAATGTCCAATTTACCCACTGTATTAGCAGCCCTCAATGCCTTAATGTCCTTGGCAATTTCGGGTTTGGGCTAAAATATAAATAATTTTTGGTCATATTTGTTTTTAAAGTATTTCATTACTTACCTTTATGCAATACAAAAATTGACAACTATTATTTGGCTGTAGCATATTCTTGGAGGTGAATACAGATTCACCATTTGGCAGAGTATTCAAAGAGGTAACCGTATACTGATCTGAACTATCAAGTTCAACCTTTTCCAAACAAAACGGACCTGTGGTAATATTTTGTATCTGGGCCTCCAAATAGATTTCATCCATTTCGGCATTATAGAACTTCGTCTTTACATCAAGAGGCTTGAGTACTTGGAATTTAAAGAATTTACGGAAATAGGTGGCCAAACCAGCTGGCGTTGTATAGTTCACTTCACAAACCAATCTATAAATTGAAGATAAAATATAAATGAATATTGAAAAAAAGTATAAATACTTTTTAATATTGTCCTTACATATGAGTTCCAATCTCCTTAACCTCATAGCGTATTGTATCATCCAGCGTTTCATCGGGCCCCAATGTTGCCGGTTTGGTCTTATTTTCATGCATAGGCAAATTTATGCGAGTATTGTTCGATTGCAGGTCAGCCTTGACGGTCACACCCTCCACGGGATGTGAGGTACAATTGTGTACACAAATGTAACTGGAAAATGTCTCACCCAAATAAATATTACCAAATGACTGTGGTAAGAGCATAAATTGTCCAGCCGCCAAGGTCTCAGCACCGGCAATGGATGCCTCAGATTCCAAGACTTGCTTAAGACTAAACTGTGGCAAATCTCGGGGCTCACATGAAATCACTTGGGGTGCAACCAGAGTGGGACGTGTCAGGCGCATTACTATTATAAAAAATAACATTAGTTTTTTTTTATTTCAATGGTAGTTAAAGAAATACCTTTCAATGCCAGTAAATGTTCTCCTTGATCAAGAGGATTCATGTTGAGTTATTCCTGGATTTAGCTATGAAAACAACTTCTTTCTGCCAATGGGCTCTCCAAACTTGAAGAATGAAAATATAAAGAATAGGCAATAAAAGCTTAACGCAAAGCAAAATCATCAACTAAATTGCTGTTATGAATGTTGGAAGAAAGCAGAATGACCGTTTATTTATGAATATCAGCTGTTCATGTGACAGCAAAGCCGGTCAATTTATATGCCGGCGACAGCTATGCCTGTGTTTACATGATGACATGAGTAGTTAAATTTCTCGTCTATGATGTGGATTATAGAAATCCTAAAAATAAAGTTTTTTTACCAGCTTTGAGATCATTCAAAAATTACTTTCACTTTCACACTTTTTTACAAGGAGAAAAATTTTAACAGAATTCTTTAATAAAAAATAAGATTAGCTCAAATTTTTATTTGAAATAATTTGAAATTTATTTCGCCAAGTACGTATTTCCCGGTTTCTCCTTATTGAAAGTCAGCTGAAAAATGCAACATTTTTTCATCCGCTTAGTATATACATCGATGGAAATTTGAGAAACGCAATGTTGCTTTTAACATCGAAGGAAGATATATTCGTTTAAATTTTGAGAGCTGAATGTTGTCAAAAGCAAATGTATGAAAAAATTGGAAATATATGACTGCATGAGACTACCTTGTATAATTATCCCATGAGTAGAAACTGAAATCGATGTATTCTTTTATATGGGTCCTTTACTAAAAAATAGAACCCTGTTTTTTAAGAAGGATCTTACCAAAACCAGCATAGAATTTTATTATATTTCCGAAACTTCGAATATTATGCTCGACTAGAATGAAAAAATATAGCCTAAAGTCATACAATGATAATGCAGTTTAGTTGGAAAAATGCTGAAATGTTTAATCATATTTTTTTACTTATTCTATTTCCTTCTTATATTAGTCTGTTCCAGAACCTGCAAGAATGTACAATTCTTTAGTACGATAACAATTTTTCCTTTATGATATCGAAGAAAATAGTAAAAATTAATAGACTCTTGCAGTACGGGAACAGGCCACATATGTCCAATGTAAATGTAGCGTAATGCCACTATTTCCCACTGCCCATGCAGAGTGGCAACATTGGCGATCAGCTGTTATAAAATGTAAATACACATATCGATTTTCAAACCCCTAATCCGGCTGTTGATATTTTTCGACTATTGTAACTCTACGGAATTTCGCGATATTGTTTGTTTTTATCGGAATTAAATAATTAATTAAATTTTCAAGAATGTGGCCAATTATTATGGCTTTATTACGCAGAAATGCGGTCTATATAACATTACCGTTTGCCGGCGTTGTGGGTTTCATTGGTTATAATTTGGAAAGTCTGCTGTCCGATAAATATACACCATATAGCAGTAAGTTAGAAGTCTGGAAGAGATTGTGTAAATATTTCGCAAATGAAGTTAGATCAATAGAGGCAACAAAAATCAATTCACATGGCTATATAAATAATTAATAAGTTATTCCAATTTCATCATTCATCATTTTTATATCTCTATTACAGAATCCATCCAAGAATTACGTGCCGAACGTTTGGCTGAAGACTTAGCCGATTCTAATGCAGCTCAAGTTGACAAATTGCGTCTAAAGGAAAATGTATTAGAACGAAACTTATCACCTTCCCTGCAAAAAAAAATCTAGCTAAATTGTGATCAAAACAATGTCCAGTTGTTTTCGTGGACGAAAACATGTGTTGCTTGTTCTTGTTATTATTAAGTAATTAAACAAAAAAAGAAGAGTTCTTAGAAATCAATTTTGTTTTTGTATTTTTTTGTAAATTTTAATCGAAAAAGTTTATATGTTGATTTAGGCTGGGAGCAATCACCGCCCCAGTGGCCTAATGGATAAGGCATCGGCCTCCTAAGCCGGGGATTGTGGGTTCGAGTCCCATCTGGGGTAAAACAGTAATTCTTTTTAATTATTTTAAATTAATTTTTAATAAAATATATTAATCTTAAATAATATCGTTCTAAGTAAGAATATTTTTGAATATGTGATTAAAAAAAATTGAAAGCCTTTGTTGAAAGGTGTCATCCCTTGCGGGGATCGAACCCGCGACCTTTGGATTAGAAGTCCAACGCGCTATCCTCTGCGCCAAAGGGACAGTTGTTGGGTGATTCGCCAATGCCACATTTGATACCCGAGCTTTACTTGCCATTAAAACAGGGTGGTTCGCAAACAACTAAAAATGCCTTACAGGGTTATGCTTGTATTTGGTTACCAGTTACTATTTGGATATTCTTAGTGTAGTTTTAAGAATTTATTTGCAAAAAAATTATTTTATATCAAATTAAGAAAATTAGAGACATTTTTTGTGGATAAAAAATATCTGAATGAATTTGGTATGGAAGGTATTCATAAGCATAAAGTTTTTAAAATTGATGTTACATTGTTTAAAAGGGCATATCCATGAGAAAATAACACAAGGCAGTATAGATTGAGGTGAACACCAAAAAACAACACTGTAGATAGCGGCTTGTCCCCTCATACACAAAATATGTACACGTTGTTGTATTTATTTGAGTTTTTTTAACATATTACTAAAATACAATATCGAGTAAATAAAAATATGAATGAAACGTCATGATTCTTCCCAAAAGAGGGTAGGGAATACAATTTCTTCCAGCCTCCACCATTCCGTTTACAACACCACGAAATATTTCCCTGAATTGAATTCTTCGCCGGTGTAGCCATGTCCTTTTGTATATGTTTAAGATAGAGATTTGATTTATGAGTCCATGTTTTGGTATGGCCTCATAAAACGGTGCCCCTCAATATTCGGTAATTTAAATATTATGGGAATGGTTTTTAACCGAATCGGCTGCAATTATTAATAAATGTTGATCAACTCTTTAGGGAGGAGTATAATGCCAGGTATTTAAAACATATTTTTTCACGACTTCCAGGAACTTAAAAAAAAAACATTTTTTTGAAATGTATACGCCTTACAGGAACTTAAAAACATATTTTTAAAAAATCCACGCCAGGAACTTGAAAAACTACTTTTTTAAAAAAATGCACAAAATTCAGATATTCTAGGAACTGGACTTTTTTTTAAATCCAGCATTCTAACAAGTTAAAAACATATTTAAACAAATTCAAGTCCTCTAATAACTTAAAAACATATTCTTAAAAGATCCAAGTCTTCTAGTGACTTAAGGGTGTCAAAAACATGTAATTTCGTTTTTTATTAAATTCGAATATACACTAATTTAAGAATGTTCCTAAAAATTACAAATGAAAACCTCAAGAACGCTTAAAGATATAGCTGATTTATTGTGTCAGTATCAAGTGACGGGAAGAGTGATTCTCAAACTTTAAACGCAAAAATATGTGAATTTCCCAAAAAAAAAAAAAAAAAAAAAATAGAAGGTCCGCCATTTTGTCAAGCCCGCCATCAAAAATAAGGATTTTTCTTTAATCCAACCAAAACAACAACAAAAACCAAAATTTGCAAATTATTTTTCTTCACTTTTAAGGGGACCCCCCCATTCTCGGGGTCAAACATTTTTTTGATTTAATTCGAATCTACACTAATTCAAGAATGTCCCTACAAAATTTCAAATGAAAATCTCAAGAACTCTTGAAGATATAGCCGATTTATTGTGTCAGCATCAAGTGACGGCTAAAGGGCTTCTCAAACTTTAAACGCGTTTTTCTCTTTTGCGAATGGCGGGCATGATAACTCAAAAACTAATAACCCAATCGATTCCAAATTTTTACACGTTTCTCTGTGAGTGTATAGCTATCGTATGAACTACGATAAAGCCAATCGATGAATATCTTCCTTATTTTTTAACTTGGTTTTTGGTAAAAAATCGGCGATTTCCCAAAAATATTTTTTCAAAGGTCCTCCATTTTGTTAATTTTAGAGCGAAGACAATAATCCTACTTCATACGAGAGCCAGACATGTACTCTTTCGAACACAGTTGGAATTTTCCGATTCCGATGTTCCAGTGAGGAGTTATCATGCCCGCCATTAATTACAAAAAACAACAACAAAACAATTACAAAATTTTGTTGTAAATTATTTTTCTTTTCTTTTAAATCTTCAAATATATATGTATGTGCAAAGTTACAAACCTGAACAAGCATTAGTATTGATTCACCAGCCCATTGAAAATCTTGAAAAAATAAAATCGAAAATGGGGGCGTTACCTTAAGTCTTAAATTATATATGTGCAACTTAACATGTATTCATTTATCAGTCCAATGAAAATCTTGAAAATGGGGGAGGATATCCCCTTAATTATTATTCTCCGTGTTCAATCTAAAAATTCTGTTTTAATCTTGACTTAATCTGTATATAGCTTCCGTCGAATATTTCGGGGTCATGAAAAAGTTATTACTAAATTTTACTATACACTTCTATCCCTCAATTTCTCATTAAATAAATTATGACATAATATAGGTGCTTTCGTAGGGTTAAACCATGTGCTTCAACATCTCATTAGCATCGATTTTTAATTCTATTCTTCAGAATCAGATTTAACATACATATTAATTATGTTATTGATATGTATACTTTTTCTAATGCCGAAATTCGATTTTGAATATTACTAAAAAACACAATTTTCATGTCATCCCTTGCGGGGATCGAACCCGCGACCTTTGGATTAGAAGTCCAACGCGCTATCCTCTGCGCCAAAGGGACAGTTGTACGGGTTGCTAAACATCAAACAGCGATTCAGAATGTTAGCAATATTTTTTTTTTTCAAAAAAATATTATGAATGTTTGCTGCCATATAAAATATTGAATTTGTTGTTTTTTTTAATGTAATATTCTGGTTAAGTTATTAGCATTTTTGTTCAATATTTGTTTAGAATGCTACGAATATGGGATAAAGATATAATTTTAATGAATTTGATATTAAAAAATACATATTCAAAATGTGGGGAATCGAACAGTTTGTGCGTTATAATAAATATTTAGTGGTCAAAATTACAGGTCCATAATCAAGTGACGGGACATTTAATTAAAATGTTGTTTAATTAAAATGTTCTATAAGGATTTTCTCACACAAAATAGTACCTTTATAGTACATATTGTACAAAATAGTACCTTCTCCCAAAGTGGACAAGTATTTGTGCGGATTCTTTCCACTGTGAATATGTTTAAATATAAGTAAATTTTGATATTTGGATAAGTATTAAATACTTTCTATATATCAACGACGTATTAACATTATAAGTTACTTAACATTGATTTTCTCACGTATGTTATAAAATAGTAATAATTTTAAACTTATTTGTATTTGATTGCTAATAAGGTCATCGAACTCTATATATTATACTAATTTCAGGTCGATGACCCTTCTTTATTATTTAAACCATCGAGATATTTTGCAAAACGAGGCTATTAATTTTTGAGTATTCTTTTAAACTTGTTTTTGTTTTGCTTCCGATTTAACGAAATATTTATGCTACTTATTGGAAGTAGTATAAATTATGTTTTACATCCCTTGCGGGGATCGAACCCGCGACCTTTGGATTAGAAGTCCAACGCGCTATCCTCTGCGCCAAAGGGACAGTTGAGAACATGCCGTGCAAAAAGTCTCACATTAATTCCCAAATTGAGGAAGAATAAAAATAACTTCTTCAAAGTTCTACTGAATCAAAGATGCTCTTCTGCAAGATTTAAAAAGTAGAATCAAATATAAGCCTATAAAATATAATAAATATATTTGGAGTTTTATCGGTGTACTATATTTTAGAACCACAATTCTAATCTAAGAACTTGTTGCAGTCAAAATACAAAATTGAGAAAGTGTAATTAATAGATCCGAATCTGTATAAATAAGGACAAAAACTTCAAGAATCCTTAATTTTAATCTAGAAAATCGAGATACAAAATTAAAACATTTCTTCTATAGGCTTTTATCTCCTTTCGAATATTTTTTGACAAGGGTATGTTGAAGATTTTTTTTTTGTAAATTTGGCCACACAAGTTGATGCCCAAGGGAAAAAGTCCTCTGAAGTCGGCTTAATCAAAGCCTAGGCAATGTAAGACCTAAGGACCGCCGGTGAAACTTAAAGTCCAAAGTTGTCATATATTTATTGATTTTTTTGCTGCGGCTGGATACCTTTATTGTTGGTTCTGACTTATAGCCATTTTTTCTGATGTTAAAGCACATTAAGAATAATCTATGATTTGACCTTATCCTATTTATAGAATGACCTGAGCCCAGCTTTTTTTATCGATTATTTGCTGTGAGGGGTTGGCAAAGGGTTAAGATATGTGTCCCTTTGGCGCAGTGGATAGCGCGTTGGACTTCTAATCCAAAGGTCGCGGGTTCGATCCCCGCAAGGGATGGGAAGATTGTATTTTAGATAAGATGGAAGAAACTGGGGCAATCTAAAAAATAGTTTGACATACATTAGTTGTGTTCCCGCGCACTTACTAAAAAGGCTTTTCATATTAAACTAAATCATATGTAAAACCAGGAGTTACCTCTATTAAATGACTTTTTACCGGATTAACATACTTTATGAGGATTTATTTGAAATATATCCAATTGAATTGACAATTTTAACCTACTGGTTTAACGAAATCCTGTATAATGTATAATGTATAGAGTAAAACAACTACCTAAAAACCCTACATAAATTCATTTGAGAGTTTTTGTGGAAAATTGTATTATATTGGACACATTAAACAATATGCGTTTTTGGAGTTTTCTAAAGCTGGAACACAGCCTTCAACATATTAAAACTAACTACATAAAGGGTGAAAATTACAGTTTGCTAAACTAAATAATTAAAGTTCAGTTAACACTCGAACCCAAAACGACCGATCGATCATCGCGTTTTTGCTGATTGGATCCTTTAAATTTATAGAAATTATCCGTATTTCTATAGAAAAAATCATTCTGACTGTGGAGGATTATTTCCAGCTCGGTAGCTAAATATGCAAAATTGTCGCATCTGAGGTACGGAAACTACAAGAGTTATTGTTGAGAACGAATGATTGTTTGATGCTGTTTTTTGGTCTGGCAACATCATTTCACCTTATTCTTACGAAAATATGGAAGTTTCGAGAGATATGTGATGAATATTGATCTGAAAATGTTACAAGAAATTTTTCCGATTGGTTTTTATCTCTTGGTCACGGAAATCATATGATTTAACACCATTGGGGCAATTTGAAGGGTATACGCCAGCAACACAGCGTCATTTAAAGACCTTCAGGAAAAATTTGGAGAGGCGATATAGAACACCAACTTCCAGATTTTGTAATGCAAAATTTTAGAAATTGATTATGGTCTTGAAATTTGAAAATAACACCTCATATTCTATTATATTGCGATTCCAAAATCAAGCATTTGAATCTGAATCTGCTCCAGGGTTATAATTAGTGAGAAATCATGATCTTATGAAATGGAAACCTTCGCTTGAATCATGAAATTATTTAAATTTATATAAATGAGGGACAGATATGTTATTGTCTACCTGCACTTTCAATTTCAATAATTTAGATTTACACTTTTGTGCTTGACTGTAAAAAAATTATTTAATAATTATACTTTGATTGTAATAAAAGGATTTTAACAATTGCCATCCCTTGCGGGGATCGAACCCGCGACCTTTGGATTAGAAGTCCAACGCGCTATCCTCTGCGCCAAAGGGACATGTTGCGGGACGCTGCCACAGAACGTCGTACAAATTTGAGACTGAAACATTTTTATAAAATTTCTATAAAATAAAAAAAAACTTAAATGTTTACTATTCTATTAGAAGCTAATACATGTGTAAATCCAACAACAAAAGATTGACCAAATATACTTATTATTAATTAATATTTAACATTAGTTGTTAATTATTATATTATCAATAACATATTACAACAAAAATTAATATTTGTTTTAATAATTAATTATTACAAATAAATGAATTGTTATTCTGAATAATAAAAATATTATTTCATCATAAATTTTATTCGTTTCGAAACATTTAATGAGGTTCCGTTTTTGTTTATACAGTTTTATTTACATAATAAATTGTATACATTTAATGGGTCATTGTTGTTGTTATTGGAAACAGAAACATTCTAGATTTCTAACATTGTTACATGACTCATATAAATCCAATTCCAGGTAGCACACATAGCCTCGGTGGCGCAGTAGGCAGCGCGTAAGTCTCATAATCTTAAGGTCGTGAGTTCGAGCCTCACCCGGGGCATTCGTTTTTTGTAAAATTGTATTGAAATAAATTTTAATAAATAAATATTTTTAGTGTGTAAGGCTACTTTTGAATGAGAGTGTATTAAAATAAGAGAATATACACAAAATTGCTGAAATAACGATTGATTTCTAACAGTGATGTTGATATTTGTTTGGTGTTCTTCTAAAAGGAGATGCTTCTAAAGGAGTTACTTAAATATGATTTGTTCTCAGATTAGGGACGTGTTGTGTACTTTAGGTGTTTGTTATTAAGGAAATTATGTAGGAAGATTACAGGGGATGTGTATGATATATCTGTCATATGTTACAATTCAATTTATATACGTACATACCTCTTCACTGTGCTGGAAAATAACTCGCATATCTTAAAATGTGTAATATTTATTTCAGATTCATTCAGTGTTGTTTCTTTTTCTTCATTTAAATATAAAACTAACTCATTTCTTAATAGGATGACCAGATCGTATATTCAATTCAATTTTTTCGGTAGATTTGTTGTCTTTTCTTAATTCGGTATCTTATTTTAAGCTAAATATTAATATATGTAGTTGCTCTAAGCAGGCAAGATCTTCTTCCAATAACATAATATATCGATCGCATGGCTTGTATGGTTGCGAATTGGAATTATTTACCCATACGTTGTATGGACCATTCCTGCTGGCATAATGGACAACGATTGTTTTGTTTTACCCAGAGGGACATACAACAATGATGGAAAGAGTGATTACATTCACCCCATACCACAACACAATCCTGGCGACCCAAGACATCACGTTTGTTTTCCGCTTGACAACGTAAGCAGGCATCTGAAATGGGAAAACAAAAATAAACGAAAAAAATATTAAAATATTTTTCCACAGAAAAAATCTCTTGTCAATACTTTAATTATATTCAATTAGTAGTACAAATCTAAATATTTTGTCATATTCCAAGTTTCAAGAAATTCCTCCCCTGTTGCAAAATTTGCCATTTGATGGCTAGTTTTTACATGTAAATGATTTTCTTAGAGCTCAGAAAGAGTCCAACGTCAATCAGCGTCGACATTGAACTTCAATTCACATTTCAATCTTAGGTTCCTGATTTGTTGACATAGTTACAATAGTACGTTTTGTATAAACGAATATATTGCTTGGTATACTCGTATATCGAAACTAGCGAAGAAGGGGAAATTTGAAATGATGAACTTTATTGATCGCGAATTTTTGCGGGTTGTCATTTCAACTAAACACTTTATTTGAAAATTATTCAAATTCATAGTATTTTACACGATTAGGCATAGCTCCCATATAACGGTACCGCATAATTTTCGATATTTTGCGGTTCTTGAGCGCGTTTTTCAGCCGAATTCGCTGATATTTGGTTTATTGAGTTCTAAATGCCTCCACAAAAAATATGAATGAATATAGGCCCACTTTTTCTGGTAGCCCCCATATAAAGGAACCTCCCACCGAACCTTTCCACCGAATTGGCTGTAATATAGTATTTTGAGTTCTTAATAAGTACCAAATCTCTCCACAAAAAAATTATGAATATAGGTCAATTTTTTCGGATAGCCCCAAATAGGGGTACCCCCAATTTTCGGTATTTTGGGGGTTTTGATCGTATTTTTCCACCGAATTGGCTGTAATTTCGTATTTTGAGATCTTAGTAGGTACAAAATCTCCACAAACAATTATGAATACAGGTCAATTTTTTTGGATAGCCCCCATATAAGGGTACCTCATAATTTCCAGTATTTTGGGGGTTTTTATCGTATTTTACCACTGAATTGGCTGTAATTTAGTATTTTGAGATATTAATAGGTATCAAATCTCTCCACAAAAAATTATGAATATAGGTCAATATTTTCGGATAGCCCCCATATAAGGGTACCCCCAATTTTCGGTATTTTGGGGTTATTGAGCGCGTTTTTCAACCGAATTTTGTAGTCGTATATGGGAACAAATCTCCCCACCAAAATTATTAATATTCGCCCCCCTTTTTGGGGTAGTCCCCATATAACCCCCTTTTTTATATTAAAATAGTTATGTAATTTGTTCCGCGTTTCGGGTTTGATTCTAAGACTCTGTTGTAATCATTTCACCTGCGGAGGATATCGATATAAGAAACTAGAACGTAGGGTTCGATAATGAACTATAGGTGAACTATAACCCGCATTTAGGCCTGGATGAAATCACAATTTTCTGAAACAAATTTGGTCCAAAGAAACATGGGGTCTAGAACTAATATTTCGATGAGGCACATTTTCACCGTGTCAAAGTGTATACACCCTCATTAGCCATAAGGCTGAGGGTAGTACCCAAGGATATATCAATACGGTTTAAAAAGTCCCTAAATATGTGCGCTACACCAAATCATGGACCAATATATCCCATTGTTGGTTCCAAACATACTGGTAGTAGTAACAGTATATGTGTAGAATTTCAAAGATCAATCTAAAACGTTGCTACCTCTATCGCGATTTCAACAGACGAACAAGGTTAAGTGGACATAGAATTTTATTCTCCGGTGTATATTTCAAGGTGTTGCGATCGGAATGACAAATTTATTATACACTCCATCTTATGGTGAAAGGTATAATTATACCAATTTAATTCTAAAAGCCCCATCATGCCCATGTTGATGATGTGTCAGGATGGAAAATTCTGTTAGGTTCAATTTTTGAGTATAGGTATTCGACTGCTCTCATTTCAGGCCAAAAACTGCAAACTAATTTCTATTATGCCCTTACACGCCCATTCAAAAATATTTGATTCTATACCCACATTCTTTCGAACTTCACTCTAATGAATTCATGTAATTCGAAGAATATTTCATAGAAGAATGTATATATTTATATGTATGTATATATATCTACAAATTCTAGAGTAAATTTAGCGACAATTTCTTTTTGCGAAATCCACAGTGGCCAAGAGCCAATTGCAAGTGTTTGGCCCCCTTTGGCTAGGTGGTGACGCAAATACTACAAATGCATACATAGCATTGAATATTTGTTGTTGTTTTTTGTTTTTGCTATTTTGGTATGTAATATATTTTATCATCCATCATCACATGATGGCAATGATGACTGTTGTTTCTTACAGATCGCCTGTAATTGATAGAGGCGGCGCCCCACCACCCTCAATGTGGTTCCGACTTGTTGTCGTTCCGACTTGATCATTTGGGGGTAAATAAGAAACACACCTCCCTATGTTGATGAAATACTTGTGAATATTTTGTTGTATGCATATTACAATTGTTGTTGTTATTGTATCAATTTAACAAATTTAAAAGACGACGATGACAATAAATGAAATAAGAAAATAAAAATGTAAATAGAAAGAAAATTAAATTGATTGAAACTTTTTGAAAACATTTCATTTAAATCACTGGGTGGGTAAACGGCGGACGGTTTGGGCTTTGGGAAACGTGCATATTTACACGTTTGTTGGCTAAAAGCAAAATTCTGAGGCGGGTGACTTTCAAAGAAGAAGCAGAAAAAATAATAAAAAACAAACCGGAGAGCAATGGTCGCATGGAGGACAGCTGGTGGAGGAGGAAAGGAATAATATTTTTCTTTGCATTCATTAATGGATATGCCATTTCACGGACTTGCTGTAAAAAAAAAAAGCAAACGTCCACAAAAACAAATTATCAAAACACTTTTCACTTTGGCCATTCATATTTTGCCAAAATAATAAAAACAAAATACACGAATGTGTGCCTACTAAAATTTCAATGAAGACAAGTTGTTATGTTTTTTTGATGGAATAGAGCTGGGCTTAACTTGAGCCAAACGGATCGGTTGTTCGGTCAGTGACTCAGCCAGCACCAATCGTCCAGTCCACCGCCGCCATCACCGGTCGATCGTTCACATTAATCATATTTCCCAATTCCCAAATTCTAAGAATTTTACCACGATAATGCTTACGCGTGTTTTGTTCGAAAAGCGTTTAACAAGGTGTATGCGTTTTTTTTTCACAAAACACAACACATCAAGTGTTAATTTCTTTTGTTTGTCCGTCCGTCTGTCGTCCGTTCGATCTATTTGTGGGAACGATTTAAGCGGTAAATGCGGTGGCGGCTTTTATGCAAGCAATTTGCAAATAAGTGGGGTTTTAATTTTCGAAATAAAACAACAACACAGTAAAATGTTGTTCTGACCGTTGTCACGTCCGTTGTTATTTTCATTTACAGAATAAAATGCATACGCAAAATTGATCAAATTCAAATTGATTCATTCTTTTGGTATTGCAAATGTCAATTACATATATCATACTAGAAAAATATATATATAGCTCACTCCCTCACATTTTGTGGGTAGAATCAAGCAAGGAAAAATGTTTACCTATGGATCTACTTGGAATTAGATTCTGAATAGATTTACGAATATTTTTCCGATCTATGAAATAACCCTGTTTTGCGTTTAGATGCAGTATATAGTTTTCAAAATTTTTTTTCGTTAACATCGAATAGTCGGTTTGCAAGTAATTATAAAATTCATTTTTAGCACAATTTCGACCATTTTATGGGGGAGGTACTAGAAGGAGTGGTCCGATATTCCCCATCTTCGAACTTAAACTAAGTTTGGAAGAAATATTAAGATTTGCAAAGTTTGGATGAAATTGATTATTCCTTCAAGAGTTATCGTGCGAACCAGCCAGCCAAACAGACGGACAACGGACGGCGGGCATGTGTAAATCGACTCTAAATGTTCTGAAACGGATTTGGTCCAAAGAAACCAATATTTCGACATTTTCACTGTATCAAAGTGTATATACCCTCATTAGCCATAAGGCTGAGGGTATAAAAATGGGAGTGAACCTTTATAAGGGATGTGTCATACATCTATATTTTCTGCAAATATTGTTTTCTCCTTAAAATCTTAAAAATACCGAAAATGACGCGCGATGTTTATATGGGGATATGACAAAACATGACCCTATATTGAATAATTTGTAGGAAAAGTTTCTAAAAATTGGGTGTATACATACGATGACCTTACTAAAACATGACCTATATTTATTTCTACAAGAAGCATGAGTGCCAAATTACAACGAATTATGTAGGGAGATGCGCTTAAAAACCGTTTATGGAGGCTATACCAAAACATAATCGATATATTCAATTTTAAATATCAAACATTCTCTTGTATGTACAAGATTCCGATCAGTAATATAATAATGATTAATAAAACAATTTTGCACATTTTTTGATGATTTTATAGAACTTAATAAAATATAATTCAAATATAACATTTTACCGCTAAAAAACTTCTTCATTGAACTAAATTGCGGAAATATTTTGTTCATATCCCCTGTATAAAAAAATCATCATTTACTTTGCTTTCAATTGATAAAATCGCAATGCGTACTGAACAATTCAATTGTTTGCGCTTTTTATGAATATTTTTAATTTTTCCAATTTTTTATTCAAAAGACAACGTGCGGCTCGTGTCGTAAGCAATGGTCGGTGGTTTCGTCGGTGGTCGAACGACGTTACATATTCAATTTCTTTTTTAGTTCTGTCAACAAATTACTTGTAATTGAAATTCAATCAAAAAACATTATTGGAACGAATTTAATTGCATGCTGAGATGAAATATTGCGTCATATGACTGCCATTTTTGTTTTAGTTTTGAGTGAGTTTGCTCTTGACATGACACAGAATATACACTCGGATGAAGTCAATGTAACCATTTGCAAATTTGTTACTTTTCAATGACAATTTTATTATTTATTTGTTTACTTTTTGTATTTATTGACTGTGGTCAATAAACCCATTTGTAATAATTGAAAATATAATAAAATAATAAAAAAAAAATAGA